TAATATAACGAGGTGACTGGAACCCCCCCCCCCACATATATATATATAATATAATATTATCAGGAGTGAATAATAATAGATTTTTAATAATTATGAATAATAATCTATTATTATTCACTCCTGATATTATATTATATTCGTGTGTATATCTACGTGCGTGCGAGCCTGTGCGTGTACAGGTCTGATCGCTGTATAGCCCAGAGGCAGGTATGACTAGATATATCATAGAATCTGTTTTTAGAGTAAACTCCTCTCCCGTGCATGCATGCGTCCGTGCTCAGGTGAGATGAGCCCAAGTATTCTTACCTGCAGCGCGAACGCCGCAACGCCCAAACAATCCACGTCATCGCCTGCCATGTTTCGTAACATCTCAGAAACTTATCAGGGCGTAATCTCTCATTTAAGGGGGAAGTAAAAACACAGGTACCAGGGTCGAACGCGAGGCGGACTAGTTTCAGCGAAACCACAACACAGCCACATACCAATATGCTGCGAAGCCGAAATGTAGTAGTAGTTGTTTATACACAAATACCTGTCGACTTGACAAGCTGAACGCACGAAGGTAATAACCAGATTTCACTGTCGTCACAAAATATGAAAGGACGTCTATACTTAGGTTTTCGATTATTATTAATTACACACACACGTACACACGCACGCACGCCCGCACGCGCACACACATGATAAACATATGTAATAAATTTCAGATGTGCACACGCATGCATATGAACTCCCCTTACCTGTCATCTATTCATTCTATTGAACTATACCTACTGATAAATGCACACCTACGGCCTCGATAAGTTTCGCACTGGTGAAAACTGCAACCGCATTTACGTGTACGAAGGGCGTTCCCATTACGGATCAGGTGATCGCTGACTGATAAACGGTCTTAGTCATTAATTAAGACTACACCTAACTAAACATCCAGGTATATATCCAGGTATCCAGGTAGATATATGACGGCGCGGCATGAATCACGATACACAGTCACATAAAGATAGCGGGTTGTAGTCTGACAACGTGAAATTCGCGTGAGCACAGACAGTTACAGATAATAATAGGAGTAGGTATTAACAGGTGGTGGCATTGTTGTCTGTAGTGCTTTGAGCAATGAATCTAAGGCTATGTAGCCTATACGTAGAATTTCGAAACTGAACTAAACAGGCGAGACAAATGACTATCCCTTGTAAGTGATCAGCATATGTTATAAGCATCACCGAACAAACTATTTTGACCAAGAGACAGCCATTGAACCTTCTACTGAAGCACGAGAAAACGCGAGCCGCACGTTGGCACTTTGACAAATTTATAGCCACGAGGACGTTGCAATTTGTTTCCAACTAAAACTTTTCTAGTCATTTCTGTACGCGTGCCAAATTGCCGATCCCTCGCAAAATTAGACGAGCTGAAGGTCATAACTTATCCGCAACAGCGAGTGCAAGCACACGCGCCTCCCCCCCACCTCCCCCTGGGGACAGAATGACACATGAGTGTGAGACACAGAGCATTCACATGCTGACAGTGCAACTAGTTTATAGCCACCGTTTGCCGACTCAAGAAGAACTGTTACAAAAAGACGAATCACACAAGCGAGACACAGCGTAAGGTAATTAAATATAAACCAAGTTTATTTCACAGTAAATCATATTATTTCATAGAAATTTATACAAGCATGCGCCAAAAACGACGCCAATGAAATTTAAAATACACAAGAACTTGAATAACGGGACCCAAGACCTACATTAAAATACACTAACCAGGAATGCGATACAACTGTAGGAATGTATTATATTTGTGACCTTCGAAATACGTAGCACTACTACTTGCAGCAAAGTGGCAACGATCGTAATGCAACTTTAAAAACGCCAGTACGCATCAACAAGGCGACGTACAGTGTTTTAATACGAGTTAATGCACATAGACGTACCGATTAAATTTTAACCGATTTAAATTTTTTACACTTAGTAAGTACGCGCAGCGAGGCTAATCATGTAGTTCTTGACATCAAACGACATCCGCGTGCGGCGGAAATACAGGTTTTGCATGGCGAGTATACCTCGGACTTTTAGCGTAATGAAGAAAAACGCCGACCGACTCGAGCGCGGCCTTTTTACACAGACGGCAGAGCTAGTAGCAAGAGGGATCCGTGATCGCTGTAATTTCCTATCGGGCTATACACACACCAGGTGCTCACAGGTGCTGTACAAGACACCCCATCCACTCGGACCACACTCACTAACTACTGCTGATCCCGCTTAGCAACTGGCTCGAGCAGCCGCTCATAGTATGATCGGCGTTCTTCTACGCTGCGGAGTAAAACCCTAAACGTGCGAACACACGCAGGCCGCTAGTACACGCACACTGGGCGTACGTTATGTGAACGCGTTAGGTTAGGTATAGACCACCTTGAATATGCGGAATTCTGCCCACGTGTAGAGCTAACCACCACTACTACTGAACTCACTGCGTCGAAACGCCCCCCCCCACCCCCCACAGAAATAACCTGCCTGAAAACATACATATACTCTTACTCTAGTTCACACAGCACCATTTAAATTCAACACGACGGCGAGAAATGTTTCAAAGTTATGTTTTTTAAGGCGTTTTTCTAAGAAAAAAATAGACGAACAGGGCCTATGTTGACATAGGACCGTCGATAGAATGGGTGCAGCGGTCGCGCAGAACACTCGCTTTTAACACAAGGCATTTCACAAATAACTTCTTGCCGCGCGTGTGTGTCTTTCGTACTGTGTGTACTAACGTAATGGCCGGCCTAGCATGAACAAATGGCCATAAAACTTCAATACAGCCGAGAGAAAACAACTCGGCAAAAGCAACGAGGTCAACTAAAAAGGTACCGATGGCAGTGAGTCTACCATCATACCCGAACACGTTCGAAACGTTTCTTCAACCGTATGTACATCGTCTCACCCCCCCCTCGTTACAGCATAAATATACAACAAATTGATAAAAAAAAACTTGCCATCAACATTAAAGCAATTGAGCAAACGGTTATACGTGTACTTTACACCGTCCCGTCTGCAAGCCTCGTGCCAAGCACGCCTTCCAAAGCCACACCCCACATCTCCGTACGCGGGCCCAGCTTCCATAATCACCATGGAGACAGGTGGCACTTTTCTCAACCAGACGAATGACAGATAGGTATCGAAAGGCGAGTGCAGAGTTGCAACTGCTGCTAGCTAGCAGGGGAGTTCTTTTATCCATATCACAATTACAGGTTACAGGGGCGAGCTTAGATTACATGCAATTATATTCGGCTAGTTATTAGACATCACCAGCCAGAGAGATTGGTAGAGAGAAATACGATAAACCCACACTTCGTGTCAAGGCTATCCACTACTGGTTTCGACGAACAGCAGCTCTTAACAAGAAGACAGGACTAGTAGCAAACCAGTATAAATCGCGTTGGAATGTAACAATTATAGCGAATGATTTGTCATACACCGTGCATCATCCACAGCTATTAAGAACAAAAAACGAGAAAACTAGTAGTTTTTATATATAAGGTAGGCAATGCGACGTGCACATATTAAAGCGAACCCTATGAAAAATCGAAATGCCAACAAGAGGCTATGTTCGTTCGAGCTTAGACCGACACGTACAACAACGATGTGGGTATATACTGTATATGTATGCGACTATAGCAATTTACCCTGCCCTAATATGGCATTACTACCCTTATATGGCATTCAGCTTCACATGTATTATGCATGAACACAGTCACATCTCTGAGCTCTGTGGGAATAGTATGAGTAAATACAACTACATCAGCAGCAACCCAACAGGATGGCTCGCAGCAGATATATATACGAATCGGGTAATTCAATTTCAAAGCTAATGATCCGTTGCCGAAGGGCGCCTTAATAATGCACGTGCACATTGCCATATTCTGTCGATCCATCGGGAAATATGGCTTGCTTCGCATCATAGAAGGTTTCTCAACTTGCCCATGAATGGCAAAGCACAATTTTAAACCAGGATTCTTCGTCACTGTACATGGACTAGCAGAACAAAACATCAGGCTACGCCAGCCAAATCACCAGAGGCAATCACCACCTCCTCTCGTACGCTCAACACTTACTCCCTTTCAGCAGTCAAAAGAATTTAATTCGCAACCAACAATTTCTCTTCCTCACACGCACACAGACGCGCATGCACACACGCACACATGGACGCGCACAGATCGTTAGCTAGTCTCTCTGCTCCCACCCACTGCTATGGGTAAATAAGACATAAAAACCTCCCAACGGGGGACGACTCAGCCGCGCATCCAGGCATGAATGCAACCTCACACTTCTGAAAGACTTGTGTACTAGGGTGCCCAGCGCCTATGCACAAGACAACCCCTGCTTCTCTGTTTGCACACGTGGATTCGAGCTGCCAGGCACCCACCCGACCTCATCACAACACTGGGTCCGGCGACAGTGACGCACGCACGCGGGTAACGTACAGTCAGAGCTCGGGCTGGAACTCGCTGTTCTGCCACCGGCGCCACCCTGCAGGAGTGCCCATGCAGTCTCGTTCTACCCCGGCGCCACCACGCAGGGGGTCGTGCGATCTCATTCACTATACCCCAGAGGCAACAGGCAGAGGGGCTGCACGATCTCAACGTGCTATAGAAAGCAGAACAGCTTCTTCCAGCCCTTCCCGGGCTGGTAGCCGCCACGCAAAGTTCCGTTGCGACGTCAACCCAGGAGTGTTCCCGTGACGCTATAGAAAGCAGAACCACTTCTTCCAGCCCTTCCGCGTCGTCGCCGCCGACGCCGACGACGACGACGCCGACGACAGCGCCACCTCGCGGCTCTTCTGCTTCGTTTCGTTGTTGTTCCGCGCGCTCACCAACGCCCGCAGCTTCTCCCGCCGCGTCACCGCCTTCTCCCCCCCTCCTCCTCCTCCTGCACCGTCGCCGTCGTCGTGAAAGTGTCCGTTCGTGCGGAGCGCGGTGAGCAGCGCCGAGTCGAACACCTCCTTGAGGTTGCGCTGCGTCAGCGCCGAGCACTCGATGTAGCGCAGCGCGCCGATCTGCTCGGCAAGATGGCGGCCGCTCGCCTCGGAGACGGGCCGCTCGTCGTAGCGCGCCAGCTCGATGAGCTCCTTGACGTCGTTGCGTAGGTCGCACTGCGTGCCGACGAGCATGACGGGCGCGTGCTGCGAGTGGCCGCGGATCTCCGGCAGCCACTTGTCGACGATGTTGTTGAACGATGTCGGCGAGACGACGCTGAAGCAGAGCAGGAAGACGTCTGTGTTCGGGTAGCAGAGCGGCCGCAGCGAGTCAAAGTCATCCTGCAACGACAGACGCGGAGGGGAGAGCGATTAGCACACCAGTTATTAGCATAATTATTATTAATATTAAATTAATAGTTGAAATATACTGCGAGGGGAATACCTCAAACGGTAGCAGAGTGGCCATAGGGAGTCAAAGACATCCTGCAATGACAGACGGAGGGGGAGAGCAATCAGCACTCGTGGCGAGTAAATCATTGTTATTATTACTATTAATTAGTAGAAATATACTGTGACTCGTGAGGGGAAATCTAAAATCGTAGCAGAGCGGCCACAGCGAGTCAACGACATCCTGAAACTAATGTTGGAGATAGTGATTATATATATAGCATCTGTGCCAGTCAATAGCATTATTATTATTAGTATTAGTAGTAAAATTTACTTAGTTGTAGACGTCCTGTAATGGGAGGCGGAGATCAGCGATCATGCCATTCAATGGTGCATTATTTTTAAACTTTGACAGTTTTGAGGGCAGATTTAAACTAAAAACGATAGCAGAGCGGCCACAATGAGTCAAAATCGTCCTGCAACAGGAGGGAGGTAATCGAGGGAGCAATTAGCATTCGTGTCATTCAGTAACGACATATTACTACTAGTACTATTACTATTATTAGTCCTTGAAGAAAAATCCAAACTGGTAGCAGAGCCGCCGCCGTAGTACACTATTAGATCAACGAACCAGATATTAGCGTAGACCAGTTTACACAAGTTTTTCGCACATATTTATATCAGATATATATATATACATGTATCCCAAATTGTCGACTTTGCTACGCTAAGCAGTGTTATGAGAACGCCCCCTATCGCAATGCTGTCTGTCTAGCGCTACACGGCAAACACTCCAGGCAGATATATAAGTCCATAAAACTATGCGAGATATAGTGATGTACACACGATGACTGCAATCGATAAGAACAAGCAACAGCCGCGAGGGGAAAAGGAGCAATTGGCATTCGTTGTGGAAAGAATCAAGAGCGTATAAAGAAGGCTTCTTTATAAAGAAGGCCTTCTTTATAAGCTCTTGAAAGAATGCAGCGAGATGTCCGCAGCCGCCCGTGGCCGTCTGCGGTTATAACAACAACAACAATAATAATAATAATAAATTTAATATATTTAATATTAATACTAATTTTATTATTAGTCCTTTAATTGAAATCTATATGAGCCTATTAACTTTGAGAAAAATCGAAGACAATGCGTTCAGTGCGCAATACACGCTTTAATGCAAAAATATTCGACACAACCTTTGTAATGAATAGTCAAATAAGTAATACACAATAGATAATATTATATAGATTAGTTTTGACTTAGGTTCGTCTTATTTCACATACATAAGACGAGCTAAGATTTGAATTCTAGAAAACCTCATATATTTTCTTACTGCGAGGCGTTGAAACGCAATCGTGCTTTAATAGTGCTCACCAGCCTCGGGCTCAGTATCACCTGCAAGCAAACCCGCCTTTATCACGCGCACCGCCGCCTAACGCAGGAATTGTGAAAATACCACGACACGGACGCACCACCCTGTTAGTCGTAATTGGCAATGCTCATAAATTGTATTAGCAGATGCAAGAACATGCAGCGATGAGAAATGAGATTATCTTTATTAGATCAATGAATCACGAAAAGAAACACAACCGGCATTGGCGTAGGCATGTTGATACAAGATGTGTCAACACGGATCATGTGATTTGGATATTGAACATTGAGTAATTACAGAAGGACGGCTACACGCCCAGTTTGTGTCCACAACTTGGGACCATGACTGAACATGCCGACTATATAATGAGGAGCCATCTCTCACAGCTTCGGTTAGAATCACAGGTCTTCAGTACCATGCAACAGTTAATTTGTTTCCATCCTCTCACGCGTAAATTAAATGTAAATTCACATGCTTCATAATATCTGATAATATGAAAATACACTGTGCAGTTTTAACTTATATAGGCAATAATTTTTTAACATTTAAACGAATAACGAAGTTTAAAATAAGCGATGCTGTTTCTATTTTAATATACTAGCTCGAGTAATGCTCAGTTAATACCAACGACGTACTACCCCCACTAATACAGATACAGAGGCTTTATGAGGTATCCCATGCACTATTTGGGTCAGGAAGCTTACCCTTAAAGGAATATATATTGAGAGAGAGAGAGAGAGAGAGAGAGAGAGAGAGAGAGAGAGAGAGAGAGAGAGAGAGAGAGAGAGAG